CTTCTCTACGACAACTGACACAAAGGACTATCTACAAACTACTTAGCACCGGTGTTCTGCGTTCGTGAATTTTATTATGCAGAAAGATAGTCAGTTCGTATTTTCGAAGGCAAGTACAGATAAACTAGGCTGGTATGGCATATCTCGATCACTCAACAACACGACTATACAAATGACAAGACTCGAATTCGGTATGATTGTTTTGATCGAACAAAACCAGACCGTATATCGTCTGCGTGATAAAGTAGCAGATAAATTGCTGTTCCGGACACGAAATAGCATTATGAGTGTAACTATCTTTCAAATATTTATTGTGTTTAATAAGGATTACGACTCAAACACTCTTCCGCCCAATCTTCTAAAAGTCTTTCAAGAATACATTGAAGAACGATTTGAAGATCAGATTCAAGATGTTAGGCAGTATATTGATGCGAAAACTGTTCAGGCAATCAATGAGTAGCTGATCATTGGCAAAGAGATGTCTTCGCACTTAGCCATTCGTGTAAACTGTCGACAGCTTGATACACTTGTTCTCAATCTCAAGCACAAAGTAAATGAACTGGGCCATGCATGTATGTCTGGGTTATCTGAAGAGCTTAGTAAGCGTCATTTGGGTGGGAAAATGAGCACAAAATCCTACGAGTGCAACGGTCCACGGCAAAGAATGAACTCTCATCAATAGGTACAAAGCCAATGTAGATAACAAGAAACATGTGTCTCTGAGTATTATGCGAACAGTCAACTCAGAAATGGACGATTTGCTTAAGATCCAGCACCGGGATGTAAACAGAGTGATCGCTCAAACGTTTTCGTCTAAGAAAGTTGATCCTAAAGCAAACAGGCATAGCACTTTGCTATTTTGAGTCGATCACCCGTGCAGGAATCAATCGACTTAAAGAGCTTCCTGACCAAGATATTCAGGCGTATCTCCATCTTTCTGAACAGATGATGCGTGCAAAACAATGACAAGAGATGCTGATCACTAACTTTGCAATTGACGAGTGTGGAAAACTTCGTCTTAGTACTCTTTGTGATTTGAGTAGTATTTTTGATGGAGATTCAACTCTCTGGATAGCAGAAATCCAAAGTAATGTTATCAACATGGATCGAATGCAGAGCTGTGAGCTATGAAATACATTCTTACTAACGATTGACCCAAAATAAATGGCGATGGCAATATTCTCTCAATCTTTCTTTCGCTCTTCATACTTTCGGACAAAGGTTTTTTTTTGCAAAAGACCCAGTATTCAACTTATGTCAAAATCTTATTCAAATGTGAGTGATAGGAGCAAAAGTGAAAAAAAATTATTTAAGTAATACTATTAACATACAACGTCAACAGCTTTTCGGGACAGCGGACAACTCTCTTATATTTATGAACTCTCATGCCGAACTATGCGGAGTGCAGACAGATTTGAACAAATTGAACTATCCATGTATTACAGCTTCAAAAATTCTCTCTCATTTGTATGTTTCAAGTGTATTGGAATATAACACCGTATTTCATAAAATAAACGATAATATTTTTTCAGATTTGTTAAAAAGTGCGTTTTTTGCCGTAATTTGTACCTTTTTCAAACGCTTGTTTAATTCAGCTGAAAATGATCTTTTGAAGCGAATTTTTGTTTTGTCTTAATGCTACTAGTCATATTGTGGAAGCATACCTTAATTCTGATTAAACACCACTGTGTGTCGACTTTGTTCAAGCGACAAATACAAATATGTCAGATATATCTTCTTGTAATTATGCAAAGATCTGATTTTATCGAAGGCATGACCAAGTTTTTGTTTGTTTTTTGTCTTTTTATTTTTCTTATCTGTAGTAGTTAGTACGTTAGTACCATTGTGACAGGCGTGTTTGCGTGGGTGTGTAGATGTTTACAATATGAACAGNTAAAAAGTTGCACAACATATATAAAATTCAGTCTGGGCACTCTTGATTCTGAAACACAGCAGGATATACACTGTTTTATTTGGACTGATCAAAATGACTACCTTTGACTCATATCAGCTTTATAAAACTAGAATTGTTAGAGATTATATTATATCAAAATAGCTTATTTTGTTCAGCTTTTAATTCTCTATCTTCTCATGTATACCGTGAAAATTTTCGACTAGCTGTTGAAACGTAAGCTGGTACATCTTTTATAGAATATTTTTTCTCTTTTTTTTCCAAAATGGTGTGATAGTGCTAAAAGTCGGTATTGACTAACTTTTCATAGAAAAGGTATTAGAACCTAAAATTTTAGGGTTCGTAGTTTTAGACATTGAAGTTTCGAATGAGCAAAAAAAACCAAAAAACAAAATTTTATCGAGTGCCTTGTATACTCGATGCCCTTATGGACCCTCTCTTAAGTGTATTTGAAACGATGTGAGACTCACGAATATTCAAACAATAGAATAATTCGCAACTCTTGTTTTAGTTTTTATAAACAAACAAATATCTCTCGACTATCGGTACGCTCTTGACGAACATTAAACTGAAATGAAAATTTCAGAAGTATTATCCATTTCATTTCATTTCATTGTATACATTCATAGCACTTGATATACCTGCAGCGACAGATGATTGCGATAGAAGTAGTTTAGACATTTTTGTCTAGATAAAAAGCAAGTATTCATTAAAGCAAAAATAACAAATCGAAGTGTACCACAACCTCTATATATAAATTATAACAGTGATCTTAAAGATATCTCCATGGATATAATTGCATCCCCATAGGTTTTATTGGATCATATTATAATTGTTTCATTTCGAAGAAAAGCATATGAACAACGGGTAGTATTACTTACTGCTGTCAATTTACTTGTAATTGGTAGAAGTTGAATGAGAAGCATAAATCGAAAAAGCGACGAAAAGCATATCGTATTAGCTTTTTCAACTGCGAAAACTGTATAATTGAATCCAGTATATCTAAGGCACAGGACGTGTTTGCAATAGAGCACTATTATTGATAAGTAAAATACATTTATTAATATGTTTTGATTCTCATCCACCACACCTACAATCTGTTCAATGTTTAAAGAAAGTGTAGAGGGCAGTAGAGAGCAGAAATTTTTCAAGCGAAAACAAAAATGAACTTTTTCTTTTCATTGGTACATGATTAATGAATGAACAGGTATAATTATATGTATAATATTACTTAAATTCTTCAAATTATTAATTAATTTCATGCATCATTTTATGAAATTCTGGTTCGTTCGTTTTCTTTTACTATTGTTTTTTGAATGTTAAGGAGTATTGATGGTATTAGTTTGTTTTTTATTCAAATAAAAACAGTCAATGTCATGTAAATATAGATCTAAAATTGAAAGAAAAGAAAAAGCACTCAATCAAATGAAATTGTTGTACACATACAAAAGGTTTCTTTTGTTTTTCATATGTGTCGACAACGACGGCTGTTTTTTTAATTGGTCATTCTAGAGATTGAAATTCATTTACTATTAAGGTAAACATTTTTATTATTAAGTATAGTTTCAACAAAAAGGAACAACTTCTAATTAATTCCAAAAAATGAAAACAAATTGATAACAGATGGTGAGGCTCATTCGAAGCCTGATCTTTCACAGAAGAAATTAATTATATTAATAAGTGTCTGCTCTCTATTCATAATCACCAGTTGAACTTAAAAAAGTATCTTATTGATATTGAATTTATGCTCAGAAAGTCCTTAACGGAGTGTTTCATCTAACTCTAATTTTTATTCTTTGATACTACTGTCAAAACTACCTAATAATAAAATCTTAGATTAAAATTTATATATAAAAAAAGCAATGTATAAAAAAATTTTCAAGTGAAAACATTTCATTCGATTTGATTTCAGAATTGTTGCTTATGAATCAAATTCATTATGAGGAATTTTTTTGCAAAAACTGTTATATCTTGAAAATTCAACTGACGTTTCCTTAAAAATCAATGAGTGTCAAAAATATTGAAATATCATGTTCACCTTCAAAGAAATCAAATACAGACTCTCATCTATGATTCTAATTTTCTACAATGTTTGTTAACTTAACATAATCTTAACGATTGTAAAAACATGCTTTTAAAGTTAAAAACAAATAATATTTTTTTGTTTTGTCTCAGTCGTAATAAATATTTTTTTGACACAAAAAAATAATATGTCGAATTGTGTTTACTTCAGTTTTTATTCTTTAAACGATCTTTCAGCATAATATTAAATGTTCATTTTCATTCATACAATTACAAACTGTAAGTTATATACGCAAATGTATTTCTACGTTCTTCTTTATTTTATTCAAATTATTGTTTTTCTTTCATCAAGAATAGAAATATTAATTCATAAACTATATCATATACATGTTTATGAGCGTGGCCTTCATTTTCTTTTTATAAATTTTCACGAGTAAAACGCATACAATTAATTCATATGTTATTTCGTTATATTTTAAGGAAAAAACAACGAACGAAGTTTTAGTTTTATTGCGTCATTCATTTTTTTTTTGTATTCTTTTTTCTTCTTTTTTTGATGAATGTAAAGAATAATTCGACGAAATTCACCTTCGCACTATGATCAACTCTAATAGGAGCGTCAGAATATTTTCTGTTATTGTACGACATCCCTCTCTTTCCTTTTCTAGTGTCAACAATAAGCTGATTAACATTGTTTTGAATAAAAAAGAAAATGATAGGAGCATGCATGTCTACTTGTTCAATAGATATACGAAATACGATGTTTTTTTGTTGTTGTTATGTTCTGTTGGCCTGTCGGCCCACAACTAGATAGGACGGAGGAGAGAAAGAGGGACATACCGGTCGAAATCGTACGAGAAAAGAAGGAAAAAGAGAGCGAAAGAGAGGCTAATCTGCCACAAAGAGACAATGTAAATAGGAGCATAGCGATTTATATTTGACGAGGTAAGAACGGAGTACAAAAAGAACAACTAATTTTTCTCGTTTATACGTATGTATATGTTTCATTTATAATTACTTTGATAACTTTGAGTTTCTAATGTTATCTTAATTTTTACTTTAGACTATGCCCTCAACAATAAATGGAGATTTGTCTAATACTAAAAAAATTGCTCCAGCTTCATTTAATTTAGTTGGAGAAATAACAACAATATCATCAACATTACCGTCAACATTATCAACTTCACCTCGTGATCGTTGTCGTCGTTGTCAACAACTTGTCTATGTAACTGAACGTATTGGTCCAGTTAAAGATTCTCTTTATCATAAATTATGTTTTAAATGTTTAAAATGTGATCGTCAATTAGATTTTAAAACATATTTTACGAATTCAATTGATTTAAATGATAAAGAAATTTATTGTCAAAGTCATGTACCACGATCGGGTAAAGGCATTTTTTCAACAGATAATATTCATATACAAAATGTTATGAAAGCACCAAAATTAAATGTTATGCAAAAATTAGATGATCGTCTTAAAGTAAAATTTATTTTATTTATATCTATATAATAAAAACAAAAGATTTCTTTATTAGGGTACACATCTTGATTCTCAATCTGTTTCAATAGCACATGCTATGAAAGCACAACAAATGTTTGAACAAGGTCGAGAAAAAATTTCATCGAATCATAATTTTCCAGCATTACCACCAGTATAAATTATATAATTATCTGATTGTCTTTTTTTTTTCTAAAAAAGATGTTTTTTTTTTTTTTTTTTTTATTAAGGATATTTTACATGCTCGTGAAGAAGTACGTCGTGCACAAAAATCATTAGAAGAAAAACAACGAGAAGAAGAAGATCAATTATTTATTAAATTTCGTGTTGATCGTGAATTAGAAGAGAAAAAAATTGAACGTGAAGTTATTGATGAATGGGAAAAGAAATTAAAAGTGCTTACAGCTAAATATGAAGATGATTTACGAAGAAAAAGAGATAAAAAAGCAGAACGAGTTAGTAAAAAGAAATTCTTTCTTTTATTTTCTATATAAACTTATTTTTGTTTATTATTCTTTTTTTTTTTTAGGAATTAACACTTCGTTTTACAAAAGAAAAAGCTGAATTAGAACAAAATATGACATTAAAACGAGATAAAAAACGTGAAATTGTTCGAAAACAATTAATGGAAAAAGAACAAGAAAGTACACATTCACTTGTTTCAAAATTTAGTAAAGAAATGATTAATTTAATACAAGCCAAAGAACGTGAAGTACTTGTAAGTATACAAAATGATGAATCAATTAATCGAATGATAAAATGCATAATAAATAAATGATTAAGTTCTTCTTGTTGTGGTGAGAAACCATTTACTGTCCTTTGAAGGTCAATAGCTTAGTAAAAGCAAATCTTACACCAAGGAGAAATAAAACATGAACGATTATCTTGTTTAGTTCTAAGGTTTCAGAAACATCAATATTCGAGCAAATGAACTTATCTTTTGAGTGAAGAAAGATTGTAGATAGATCATCAGTTACATTTAAAAATATCAAAAATTTGCGATATTTTTAGGTAGAAACAACGGAAAATCTGGAAACAGTCGTTTTTAAATAATAACGGGTGGCCCAGAATAAATATCCCTCTCAATGTTTTGGCTATGACTTTTTTTCTTTGTGTCCTATAGAGCTGATTGTTTTTCCAAAAGATGCGCCGTGAAATTCTCTACAAAACAGTAACCAACCCTATTCCTGAAGAAAGTTAAGGAAAAAAATTAAACGAAGTTTATCCAACACATAAAAAGTACCCAACTTTCAAAGCTAACAAGTGTCCCATGAACGGTCGGAGTTTGTACTTCTTTTTCTTGATCATCTAGTAAGTTTATTTTAAAAAGACAGTATATCAGAAGATGCAGCGTGAAACGCGCTACATGTTACAACGTTGCTTATTTTAAATAACAAAATGTGCATATACATAAAATAAATTGTTGTTTGTAAATTGTAGAGCTTTTCACGTTGCATCTTCTGGTATATTTTCTTTTCTTTTAATAAAACAGATTAGGTAATAAAAAGGTGAAATATCAAAAAAAAAACGAATTCGTAGTGTATCAAAAAATGATCTTGTTCGCAGTCTTGAAAATTAGTCGCATAGAACTTCGTTTATTTTGATAACAAAGGGTACATATATTAAATAAGATTTTTAATGTAACATGTAGAGCTTTTCACGCTGTATCTTCTCATATACTATCCTTTTAAAATAAGCTTACTACATGATGAACAAAAAAGATACAAACCTCGACCATGCACTATGAAACACTCGTTAGCTTTGAAAGTTGGGTAGTTTTTATGTGTTCGATAATCTTCGTTTAATTTTTTTCCTTAACTTTCTTCAGAAATAGGTTTGATTACTGTTTTGTAGAGAATTTCATGGCGCATCTTTTGGAAAAACAATCAGCTCTATAGGACAAAAAGAAAAAAAGTTATAGCCAAAACATTGAGAGGGGGACATTTATTCTGGGCCACCCATTAATATTCAGAGCAAAAAAAAGGTACCGTTCGATGATAACTCAATTTGCAATTGAGCAATAATGACGTCGCAATATCAATGACTTATATTCTTGATGAAGTACGTGTACATAAATTTTCAGACTTCTAGCATATACAATGGTTGAGATCAGCTAGGGTAGAGACTTTTGTTCACTACTACATTTTAATATAAAAAATTAATTATACTAGCGATCTTTTCCACGTTTTTGGTGTACCAACTAGTAGATATGTAATCAAGTCAAAGCAAATTTCTGTAGAAACATAATACGATTAAGTCACCGCTGCCCAGACACAAATAGATATTTGATTTTTGAAAAACTTCCGATGCCTGAAATCCATTTTTGGATACATTTTACTGTTTTTATAGTCGAAATAGCGTAAGTCTGCATCTTTTCTACTAACCAGTCGTTTTTTTTGTTTTGTAATAAAAAATTGTTATCATTTTGGCACTGCATTTTATTCAACTATCTGACTATAAAGAAAAGCTATTAATGTGATTCGAAGATGCCTGCCTATTGGGGACAACATCTTTTTTGACCGTGCATAAAAATCAGTATTACAAGTGTATATAGAACAATGCGATCATAAATGAAGAAGCATTAAGAGAAATAGAGATTCTATATGACCTCCGTTGAAGAAGATAGTAAATGACTAGTCTTATCTCTGTACATACGAGTATTTATATAAGACAGAGAAAAAGACGATCGTAATTCTGATTCATATAAATCAAAAAGAACTTTATATAAATCTAGTGAATATTCTATATTGTTACCCGAAGGACTGATCAATCGTTTTAATACTTCGGAATTTAATATCTACATATTATCTTAAACTAAACTAAATTTTTCTAATAAAATTAACTAAAGGTGGAAAAAGGTGTTGATGATCAAGTAGCTGCATCTTATTCAATGCTTCAACTAAGTCAACCTCCTCCACCTCAACCACCTCGTCATCATAAACGTGATTTATATGAAGATCCATCTGTATTTGAAAATGTTGATCAACAAGCTATAACTGTTGCAGAAAGTGAACAAACATCTTATACAGAATTAATCGATCAATTAACATATGGTTTATTAACAGATTTAGAAAAAGCAAGGTAAATCATTCTATTTCAATTTCATTGTTTATTAATGAATCTTGAATAATTATATCTTAGAGCTATTTTTCGATGGATAACTGTTAAAGATTTAAATGCTATTGATTTTCAAAATAATCTTGCTACTGATACACCAATGGGTTTATTACGAGGTATCAAATATGGTACTGAAACTTATCATACATTATTTATGCGTCTATGCAGGTAAAAAAACAAAGAAAAAGAAAATATATTCTGTTTTTAGTATTTTTTCTTTTCGTTTTCATTTCATTAGTTTTGCTGCATTACATTGTGTTGATGTAAAAGGTCATTCAAAAAGTGTCGGTTATGAACCAGGTATGCATATTGCTGAAGGAAAATTTACCAATACATGGAATGCAGTTTTAATTGATGGTGAATGGAGATTTGTTCAATGTAATTGGGGTGCAAGGTCTATTTCTCATGAGTGTTTTTTTTTTTTTTATTGTATCATTTATTTAACTCTTGTTGTAGACATTTAGTAATGAGTAAAGATAAAAAACAAGTAGATACATCACCACCGATACCTACGCGAGAAAAAATTAAATATCAGGTAATTTAATTTTTTTTTTCGAATATAAAAAGTAAATTATTTGAAAGATTTTAGTATGATGAACATTATTTTCTTCCTGATCCAGAAGATTTTATTCTTGAATTTTTTCCATATAAATCTGAATGGCAATTACTTGAATCTCCAATAACATTACTTGAATTTGAACAATTACCATTTGTTCGATCACTTTTTTTTCATTATCATTTATCATTTGTTAATCAACAACATGCTGTTATTCAAACAGATAATCGTGGTGCATGTGATATTAAATTACGTATGCCAGATTCATTAAAACATCGTTTAGCATTTCATTTTCATTTACGTTTTTCAAATACAACTGGACAAATTGATGATTCAACGGATTTTCAAGGTGTTAAACTTGAACGTTATGTACTTCATACAGTTCAAGATGATTTAGTTTCATTTAATATTCATGTACCACAAGAAGGAGATTATTTTATTGAAATTTTTGCATCACTTGTGGTAACGATAATGAATTTTTTTACATTAAAAAAAGAAACAAAAATGAAAGATCAATTTCGATGAGTTTTTTCATATCGAATAAAACGTAGATTAAAATTTTTGTGAAACACGATATAAAAGTGCAATATTGAAGTATAGGAGTAAAAATTCGAATCCTTCCTCCAGCATAGATTTTCGAAAACGATATTCAATAGATATTTCTCTTTCGATTTACGTAAGACCGACATTGCTAATGTGTTTCATTCAAGACTTTACCTGAGACTCTCACTTTCAATCAGCTGGATAAGAGTAATTCACTATGTTGAGTCGAATGGTGAAATTTATTTTTTCGGTTAACACTGATGTGACACTATTATCTCGTTATTCAACAATCTTCGAGTACTTTGCATGACTAATGATCGATTGTATCGAAATTCCTTTAAAAAAAAAAATGAATGTTACAGTTTACTCTTTCGAGGATTGATTTGATCTTGAATCTTGGACCTATTAATGAGTTCAACAAAAAAAAAATAACGATACAATTTTCTACAAGAATATTATGTAGAAATATTAGATAAATAATACTGAAAGGCTTCAACATGCTCAGGTTTCAACAATTGTTTCCTCAGAACAGTTGAGCACTTTTTTCTAGTCTTTATAAGACTTTCTTGTGAGTTCGATATGAGCTTAAGGCCCCCCCCCACTCAAAAATCGATTTCGGCTCCGGTACATGCAAATCGCATGAAATTTTCAGGATATGTTAGGGTTATAGTGGAGAAGCTATGGTAAAAATTTCAGCCGTATATCATGACGTTTAAGGGAGATATTCACCAAACAAGGGTCAAAAATAGCTCATCTCGGGACATAAATTTCTCGGTCCCAGCTCGTGCTATATGCTTAATTTTTTTTTGTTGGAAAGAGCATGTCAAGATGCACAACTTGCCAAGGCCCTTTTTTTAAAATTCTTACTTTTTATGCGAAAAAAAAAGTGACAAGTTGAAGGTATCAAAAAACGGGGGGTCTACCGATATAAATATCTTTAAAATAATAAAAAAAAAGCTTAATTAAAAAAAAGGGCCTTGGCAAGTTGTGCATCTTGACATGCTCTTTCAAACAAAAAAAAATTTAAATATGTTGGACGGATCCGGACTGAGAAATCCTTGTACCAAAATCAAAAAATCATAAATCGAGAAAAAACGAAAAACATTTTTTAATTTTTCAAAAAACAGCTGGTTTTTCGAATAGGGGTTGACGAAAATCTTCGAAAATTTTGGACAGAAAGGAGGTATCGAGGAAAACTTTTTATCAGTTATGAAAGAGCAGATCACGGGCTATCTTCCCATGCATTTATCTCCATTTCGACTTTTTTGACGAAAATTGACTTGTTTTGAGTGGGGGGGGGGGGCCTTAAACGATGGATTATTGTTGGAATAGTTGCTTCGTAAGACCGTTTTTCATATATAATGAATCATTTTATTTTTTCATTGAATAATGCAAATTTTTCTGAAAATTCCAAAATCACTGATTTAAAAGTGTTATTTATATAAAGTTTGGAAAAAGAAATATTTTATTTACAGATACAAATATTTTACTATAGTGATTACATGAATCATATTTTGTTGACGAAATAATTGCTTTTTTTTTCTCATTTCAATATTTACTGAATTTACTTTTAATTTTTGATCGAAGCAAAATCTACAAAAAAATATATATTTATATAAATAATTTTATATATCATTTTCTTTTCTAGGAACCTGATCCAAATCCATTTGGACAAAGTTTTAAATTAAAATGTGTTTGTAAATATCGAATTATATGTCAACAATTAATGCAAAGAATGGTAAATATTTTTTGCTTAATCTTTAATAATTTTTTTTTTTTTCTTTAGCATCCACTTCCAGCATGTGCATCAGGTGAATGGGGACCAACAAAAGCAATTCGTCATTTTAATATTCATCCTCTAACACATTTTCAATCAATATTTGAAACAAATCATTTATCAATTGTAATTAAATTTCAATGTCCTAAAATCCTTAAATTTCATGGAAAACTTAATTCAAATCAATATTCATCTGCTCATAATAATAATAATAACAGTAACACAATGTCTAATACAGCTATATCAAATATTCTAGATAAATATGTTAAATATGAATATAATGAACATGATTTAATAATCACATTTATTATTCAATTACCAAAAGAAGGTCAATATGGTTTAGATATATATGCACGTGATCCAGAATATCAAACAGAAAAACGAACTATGTCACATTGTTGTAAATATATTATTAATTATTCTAAAACATCAATACTTCCACCACCATCTACTGTTGAAACAAATAATAATAATAATTTATATCATGATTATTCATTTGATAATTCAAAATCAAATGGACAACAAAGACCACGCATGAATTCATCAAATAATAATAATAATAATAAACTTGAACGAAGTCTTTCACCTCGTAAGTAACTTAGTATATCAACAAAACAAAAAGAAAAGAGAATTAAAATAATGATTGAATATTTGAGTAAGATATTAATTACACATACAATTGCATTACTTGAAAAATATCACAGAGAAAAACAATTGGTAGATGCATTTTACATTAGTTTTCTAGTAGTTCTTCAGAACTTGTTTAAAACATCACTTGCCAATTTGAAATCAAACTATCTTGTCCAATAGCTTTCTTTTTAGACAGTTTAAATCCTAATAGTCCCTTCATATCTTGACAAGTAAAATACTCATAATTATGATTAAACATATATATATATATATAATATAACTCTACTTAAGGTTCAATATCATCTAATGGTTCATCTTCATTACCCATACCAAAAATAGGTGGTAATACAAATTTACTTTCTCAACTTGGTATGCATCCAATAAGTCATCCTGATCCATCAATAACACTTCGTTCAACAAATTATATTGAATTACAATTTCAAATACGTAAAATGGTTGATTTTTCATTTGATCTTATATATCATCATACACTTACTGATCTTTCTTCTCGAACACCATCAGTCAACTTAAATCAACGTTTAACTGCAGCAGATTATGTAACAATAAAACCGAATGGATTTAATGTTATATTTATATTAAATTTACCAAAACAAGGTGTTTATACATTTACAATCTATGCAGCTACAACAAATGCTCGAAATGATATACAAATAGGAACTAATGAACAGACTGAATTACCAGCTGTTTTTACTTATTTAATTCGCTATGTTTAGGAATGTACCTGTCTGTATGTGTTTTTTAATATATCAATCATAAGAAGTTCTGTTTTTTTTTGTGGCCTTGTTCAATTGGCATTTTTTTGCTTATTTATTTATTTTTCTCTCTCTTCGATGATGATCACATAGCAGCAATATGCAAAATCGTATAAAACAGTTTTTTTTTTCCATCATTCAAATCAGGTGTCTTTGACATGTGTCTCATTATTTGCTCAATTCATTGATTGGAATAGTATGGTTGTATGGAATGATCGTCTATTCTATTAAATTGAAGTCAATCTTGCAGAAGATCATTGCCATAAATGTATATATGTATTTTTTTGTTTTGATATATTATCGATAAAAAATGTGTTCATTGAAGTGCGAATAGGTAGAGATAGATGCTGAAATATTCATTTAATATCAAATTGAATACTGGAATAAAAGCGATTTCCGCTCGACTAGAAGAAAATACTAATTTTATACGGACATACATTATTGCTATTTTTATCAGATAGAATGATTTCTCTATCTATTCGTACTTCGAAAGAATCAAGAGAAAAACATTAATGTTATCTAGTACAACTATGGTTGATAGAGTCACGTACAAGCTAATTCAATCCTTGACATTGTAGAAATAAAAAAAAAATAAACTAAACATGATCCGAATAGGTCAAAGTCAAGTGATTTATTCGAATGCGGAAGAGCTTTTAGGCGTGGTCACTACATATACATAAAGACAAATTCAATTACTGCTTAGAGATTATCATACTAAGTCGACGTCATCTTTTACAACGATAAATACTAGGACATTAAACATGATGCAATCAATGGGGTCAAGAGACCGATTAATGTCCAACAGACTTATTTGATTAACATCGAGAAAAAAAAACTGTTCATTGACTTCTTTTTTTCCTCTTGCCGAGACAACAATCCATTCATTTAGATTGCCATAGAATAACAAAAAAAAAAATCGTTAGAATTTTTGTCTTAATCTATAATTGAATACAAATAATCAATGTGTGCAAATTATAGTTTTACTGAACCTTTGAATCGGAAGAAGTCAATTTTCAAACTTCCTTTCATTAAATGAGACACATGCAGAATTTTCTTCTTTTTTTTTTTTTTTTTTTTGTTTTGTTTTTTATAACTCATAAGACACAGCAGGATATGTCTGCTCGTGTTGTGTCGATTCTCTTTTTTTTTTTTATTTTGTCTTTCAAGTATTTATATTCATACAGATCGACATCTTTTATCAATCGAACAGAGACACACGTCCGAACAGTTATCTTTTCATTTCGATACGAATAAAAAAGAGAGAGAATGAACAAGAGCCTTAAAAAATATTTGATCTATTGTAGAGAAGAAAAAGAGAAAGTGTTCAATGTCCACTTGAGAAATGACGACCACTGTTTCAACGACAGGCGGAGAGAATAAAGAACTGTCATAACAAAAATGAATCAAGTAAGTAATGGAAAGAATAAATGGTTAGAAATAATGTCTAAAATGATCTAAAGGTTGTGTAAGTAGACAACTCACTAAAAAGAAAAAGAAGAAGAAGAAGAAACTACTTTGTACACTTGATTAAATTTTGCGTGCACCAAAGAAATTAACACTTGAATGAATGAACGTTTCTCAACGGAAGGTCATCTCGAACGTGCAGGAAGATCAATTCACGATGAACTAACTTAGATTTATATGATCACGTAATGAACAATGTGAGTATATAGTTTACTCGTTGATCATATCTTGGCAACATAACATGCGTACAATTTAAAAAAAAAAATCTTACAGACAGATTTCTATGACATGTTAAAATCAAATTAAATGAAAGAGACAGAACTCTTAGAAGTGTTAGTTATTCTTAAATTATGATCTTATGTATAGTTGCGTGACATAGGCGATATATGTCGCATGTGCTTCTAAGGTTTCTCAAGTGCGCATGTCTCTTCATCATTACTACTGCCGCCGCCGCCGTCGCCGCTGCTGTTCAACAATTGACCATTACTATTGTATGACGCATGGGAAGCAATTCAGGTTCATTCATTTTTAATCAATTTGTAAATAAAAGACAAGTGTGCATTCGTTTTCTCAGTTGGCTATCTTTATCTATACATATTTCTTTGTAATATGTTCTGTGTTGTTCTAATTACTATGATATAGAATCTATTGTGTGCGTGTCATAGAAGATGATTACAAATATGATATACATATTTTTATTGTCTTCTTTCATAAAAAGATTTGAATAATGATGAAAGTTATTATGTTTTTTTTTTCTTTTTTTGATTTTAGAGTATTAAATAGAAGTATAAAAAATGCATATTCTTCGACAATTCTTCGACATTTGGTTATTATTTATCTCGATTGATAATATCAATGGTAAGTGTTTATGATTAGAAAATTTCGTTTTATCGCGAAGAACAAAAAGAAAACTGAAGTTAATCATGTGGAAGATATATATAATAGAATATAAAAATGATAAATTTTCTTAGAAATAATAAGTCATGTAGAATGAATTAAATTGATTGCTTATATAGTCTTATAAAATAGTTCATTAATGAATATGGATTGAAATCGAAACAATTCTGTAGACAAGAATAAGAGGTTTTTTCTAAATTTCTATTTAAACTGATTCCAATGAGATCAACAAATAAAACGAATAAAATTTTTACTGTCAATCTACTTAACATTCAAATCGTAATTGAGATCTATAATAAAATCACAAAAGCCTATCGTGCAATTATTGGAATTTGAAACGAATTGAACAAATCGAAATATCAGATTCTTGTTTTAAATGTTCGATTGCTCTTTAATCAATGTCCATTTCAAAACAATGCGGTTGAGATTTTTGTTTTTGAATCATTTTCGATAGAAACAAATTAGAGCACTGTAATTTTCACCGTTAGAAAGAGTAGATATAGTCGTATCAAATTATATATTATAGATTTTCCCAAGATGTTTTCTTAATCAATATTCTAAAAATGAGATTTTTTCATAACAATCAGTTGAGAGTTTTCAGTAGAATACTTATAACTTCTGAATAATTAAATGTATAAATTTGAAACTTACATAGTTTTGTAGATCTTCGATTGGTAGTTCGAATGCATACCTGATAATTGAAAATTCACTATAGTCACTTGACAGCATACATTAATACCCCATAAGGTCGATTGAAAGCCTTCAAAAAGACAAGGTCACAAAAGCCTGTACGATGCGTCTTCATCTACTTTTTCTAAAAATAAAAACTAAAGCTTTCTGTCTTGTTTCTATTAATAATTTTGCAGCATTTAAAACATAAATTTTTCAATATTAATTGATTTTAGCTGAATCACGATTATCATCTAAACGAGTAACAGCTGAATATGGTTCTGATTTATCCCTGTCATGTACATTTCAAACTAGAGATAGTGATGAAAATGTAAGCTTGATTTTGTTTTTATTTATTTACATTTGAATCTAATAAAATTAAATCTATTTAGATTATTCAATGGCTCTATCAAAATGTTACTGATAATATTCATCGAAAAAATCGAATTCATTGGAGACCATTATTTCTCAATGCTCAATCATTAACACCAAAAGAAACACGTTATAGTATTCAACAAAAAATACAACAAATTAATCAAACATTAGTTACTTATTCAACAATATTAACATTATCGAAAGTTACTGATGCTGATGAAGGTCTTTATATGTGTAAATCATTTTCATTTGAACGAATGGAAATGACATATCAAGTTAGAGTAATACGTAAGTTTGAAAGAAAAAAAAAAAAATTAATTTTTCATTTTTGTTTTTTTATATCTTGTCTAGAAAGTCTTGATATAACACCAAAACAATTATTAATTCCAGCTGATGAAATAGGTCAATATTCAATACGATTAAATTGTATATTAAGAGATAATCATACGAATCGACGTCATCATGAAATTTATTGGTGGCATAATAATAAACGACTTGGTTCACAAACAAATCGATATGCACGTATAATAAAAAATTTTACTCAACATTCATTTATTTCAACATTATTTTATACGGGTGAACCAGTTAATGTTGCAGGAAAATATATATGTGAAACTGAACCATTAAGAAGATATATTTCAGTTGAATTAAAAACAACTAATTCATCAGGTTAAATAAAATAATTTTTAAATGAATAGAAGAAAATTTTATCAAATATGTATATATATATTTTAGATTTATTCATTAGTTCATCTTTTATTTTAATAATATGGATTTTTATTTTGATATTCCAATATGAGAATATCGTTTAAAAATTCGATGAATCGACATTTTCCGGTGAAGCTTTTGCTTTTGCTACTTTACGTTTTTTGTATTTTTTATTGTTTCATTCGTCCTTTTTTTTTTGTAGTTGAAATAAAGATAATCAAGACAATTGAAGCAATTTTGCACTAGAATGTCCTATGTTGAACAGTAGAGCTTTCAACAAGTTTATATTTTTGTTTCTACAATGTTTTTTTTAGCCTTGTAATTTGACATGAAAATTCAAAGTCAAACTCTTTATAATCGGATGCTAATCGAATTCTTGGTTATTCCTATAATTGTATTTAATTATCGGTACTCTCTATGAAGTAGAATATCCTGTATTCGACGTTGAAATTAATGAGATTTCAATGTTTGAAAATATTTTGACTTATTTTAAATTGCTAAATTATATAAAGGCATAGGAGTGAAAACCTGTACAATTTATTGTACTTGAGAACATATCACACAAGTCAAGAGCGATATTGTTCAACTAAATGAATTCGTTTTTTTTTTGTTTTATAAAAGGTTATATATAGATAATGCTTTTACAATTATTAATTTTGAGTATCGTCTCTGATATGATTTGTGCATATTAACGAATTATCAATAGAGATGATTTGTTCTTGTTTCCATTTCTTCAAAACAATGTTCTTCAGTTGAGGTATAGAAAGAATGAATGAAATACTCAAGCCTGTGATAGACAATGCAGCAAATGTATATGTGATTCGAATGCTAAGAGGATGTTCTTCACCTTTAATAATCCTCATAATTAACAGTACTACTCCTGGAACACCAAGTACAAGTAATAAACCAACAGTAATTAGAATACGTCGAGTAATAAGTAAATCTCGACGTTGTCGACGTTTTGCCACTAATGATTGATTATTTGATTGTTGACGAAGAAATCTTGTAATACGAATATAAATAAATGATAATACTAAGACAGGAATACCATATGCATTAAATAAAATCCAACAAGTACCTCGCAAATTGGAAAATTTAACATAACAATAATATTCTTTTGGTAGATAAACTACATCATGCCATAATAGAAGAGGATAAAATAGAATAAAAGATAAAATTAATTGTATACAAGGTAAAATAACATATAACCAGAATAATTGAAACCGTTTATATTGTGGATATACAATGCGACATAAACGATAAAAAGCCTAGAAGAAAAAAAAAAAACGATTTGTTGAAACATAATTCTATTCAAATGATAAAGAAATAATTCTTTTTTTTTCCAATAGATTTAGACTACTCACTTGATTGACGAATGCTTGAGATAAAGTACAAAATACAACAATAGCCAAGTAACCCATGCATCGGCACCATGATGAATCAAAGTTTAATTTGTACAAATCACCTAATAATGTATTAATATTCATTGATGTTGTTATAATCATGAGAATCAAAACTAATACATAGATATGAGCACATAAAATAATAGTTATTTTTTCATGTCGTTTCAAACGACCACAATATAAATTATAAACGATAGCACTAGAAACAATCAAAGCTGCCAAAAATGAAAATAAATTTTCAATAAGTTGAATTAAATTAAGTACAAGTCCAATCCTTTCGTAATTATTATTTAACATCATTATAAAAGTTTTAATTTATAGAGAATATCAATTCAATAATAATAATAATAACAATATATCTGAATAGTACTTTGAAAAAAACAGAGAAAATTAAACAGTCAAATTTAATTCAAGTTATAAGATTGTTTTGTGTACATGTATAAGTATCGATTGATTTAAGTACAACCTTTTGTTTTTTTGTGTACTCAAAAAGTGAGTACACTCTAGAATCGGTCAGTATGTCCGTCCGGCCGTTTACACGATAACTTTCGAAAGGAGAGTTAGATCATGATGAAATTTTCTACACAGTTCAGTCTTAACAATGTCTCGGTCGAGTTCGAAGATGAGAAGGATCCGTCACGAAATGGCTGAGTTATCGAAAAAATTGTCATTATTGACCAGACNAATTCGACAGAAGTGAACATATTCAACAAGAATTGACAATAAAATGTTTCGTATGTGAATGACCATCTCTCATATATAGGACACATTTGTTCTGAGCATAAGCTCATTTTAATTAGATTAAATAATCAAACAGACTATGTCTAGTCATTACAGTTAATGATTGATCAGATTATTTAATTTCATATTTGTAAATATGATGTTTTTTTATCTCGTGCGCAAGTTGTACGTGCGCATCTTGCAGTGCGCAAGTTTCGTCGTGCGCAAATTTCGGGTTCCCGATTTGTCCAATATTACCGGACATTATCATAATGACTTTTTCTTGTGTGATGTCTGTAAGAAAATCAACACATTCATTGACATTGTGGAATGTATAGATATTATTCACAATATAGTTCAGTTTAGTGATGGATATTTTAAAATCTTCATCATCTTCCTCAATAATCTCAACTTTCAACCAGATAAGAGTATAATTTTGCATAATACGCCGCTTCATAGTGCCGTTCAATAGTGTACTGTAAAAAATAAAAATAAAAGGTGTACAAGATGATTCGTTCGTATCAACAAGCACTGCAGGCAATTTATGAATGAACGCAGAACGTCCAAGTAAGACATCTCAAGTATCAATGAAAAATACATCTTAGATACTGACGTGCCGTAAAATCTTCTGATTAGACCACTTTCATCGATCTGTATGAGCGTCTTCAGAAGTGTCTTTTTCAGGTAAGTCAACTAATCTATGGCTAATTATTTCAATAATACACACAAATCTATATAAATATTATATTTAAAGAAAAATATTTCCAATAACATATTTTTTTGCAAGTTCCATTATGTTCAAGTCAAACTGATAAGTTAGACAAAAACCGCCGAAAAACTTTCTCTCATATTTTTAAGCACTGCAAGAAATTCGAAAAAAAAATTGATTAAGATCGACGCCTTTCGATTCCTTAAAATTTTACTATTCTATTAAATAAACCTTGATTTTAATACATTTCGCTCAATGAATAAAATATATAAACATACATTTTTTTAAAATTTTTATCTAATATTTTGTTTAATTTCAGAGGAAATAAAATTAATGAAAACAACTATGTTATCGAAACTATTTCCCTAATGTCTAATAATTATACAAAACCGTGCCTATTGTAGAATTAGCCAATCACAGATGAGCTGATATGTTCAAAAAAAGTTTTTGCTAAACTAATCTAAAAATAGAAAAAACAATGCCTCATAAAAGAACAAGATTTCCTTATACGTTAGAGCTTGGAATCAAAATTACAATTTAAATCTAGTCTCAGTTACTAAAAACACTCCTTTTACATGTTTCTGCCGAACTTAGAGTACATTTCCATTATATATTGTTTGTCTTCTGAAGCTTATTATTATAAAATATTTCTAAGCTAATTCAATATGGACAACTTCACTTGACACTACTGCACTTAGCTCACGTCATCAATGATGTATATGTACAGAACGAGAAAACAGCATCGATTGGTCAACGAATAACTATTAAATAGATGAAAGAAAATAAGACACATAAATGTCACATGAGAACATCGTGTATGGATGTTTCATGAAAAGTTTATCATTCTATCAAATAAAGTGATTCTTTTACTGAAATAGTATAACTGTTTGATGTAATAATATGAAGATAAATAAAAAAAATTACATATAGATTACACGTTAATTATAATTTCTTTTAATAATAAAGTAATAAATGGATCTCTCAAAAGGAATTAAATTTGCTTTGAATAAAAATGTTCATATATACAGTAGTGGACAAAAATTATAAGAACCAAAATTTTTTTTATGTATTAGTGTGTTTTCATCTCCTCTTTCTCGGCTTGAATTGATCTATCAATCAATACACATACATTCAAGTATGCTCTATCCAAATATCACATTATAGTCTTTTCAAACCTATTTATTTTCATTAAAAAAATCGAAGAAAAACAATAGTGTTTTTGACCTGGTCAAAATTATAAGTACAGATAAATGTTTCTTTAGCTCATCGCGCAGAGCGGACGACGGTCAAGAAAATGAGAATGATGGGCCATGCGCGTACATATTTTCTTCACTGTGAATTACTATTTTTGTTGGTTTTGTTTACTATTCTTACATTGAACATAATTTGTTTTACACAATTGGTTGCAAAATAAATGGGTCGACAAAAAGTCACAATGTATCAAAAGCTGCAAGTCCTTACACTTTTACAAGCTGGTTTTACATACGAAAATATTCGAAATCAAGTCGGTGTTTCAAATGGTTGTATCAGTAATGTTGCAAAAAAAAGAGAAATTAAAGTTATCATTGGAAACTCGTCCCGATCAAGGTCGAAAAAAGTTGACAACATCAAATGAAGATCGTTATTTATTGAAGTTAATGAAGAAAGATCGTGGAAAAAGTAGTCGAAAATTAGCATTCGAATGGAATTTATCAAATGGAAAGTCAATTAGCCCACAAACAGTGCGTCGACGCTTACTTAATGCTGATTACAGAAGTTATACTACGAAACGAAAACCTTACCGAAAACCTAGTCATTGTTCTACTCGATTACGATTTGCCGAAAAATATTCTGATTGGAATTTTAGTGACTGGAAAAATGTTATTTTCTCTGATGAGTCTCATTTCGAAGTTTTTAATCAGAAAAACGATCTTTTGCCCGTCGACTTCCATCAGAATCTGATAAGCCATTTTGTTTTCGATCACGTATTTAAACTGGTGGTGGATCAATTAGCGTCTGGAGAGCTATAACAGCCAAACGAGTTGGTCCTTTGGTTTTTTTTGTGATGGTCGAATGAATGGCCAAAATTATATCAATCTTATCGAACCCGAATTATTACCATACATTAAAAAAATTTCGATGGAAGTGATCCATGGTATTTTGTACAAGACAATGCGCCTTGCCACAAGTCAGATTTTTGTATGCATTGGCTTAAGAAGAATAAAATTAACGTTTTAGATTGATCGGCAGTATCACCAGATTTAAATGTAATTGAAAATTTATGGAATATAATCGACAAAAACCTGATCAATTGTCATTTGACCAATGTTAAGGATCTTCAACAAGCTATTCAGAAATTATGGACTGAAATACCACCTGAAACATGTGAAAATTTGGTTCGATCAATGCCTAGGCGTATAAAAAAATGTGTCCAAGTGAAGGGGAATACTTCATCAAAATATTGACTCGTTTTTACCAGAAAGGCTATGCAAATATTTATCTGTTCTTATTATTTTGACCAGGTCAAAAACACTATTTTTTTTCTTCGATTTTTTTTTAATGAAAATAAATAGGCTTGAAAAGACTATACTGTGATATTTGGATAGAGCATACTTGAATGTATATGTACTGATTCATAGATCAATGCAAGCAGAGAAAGAGGAGATGAAAACGCACTAATACATAAAAAAAATTTTGGTTCTTATAATTTTGTTCACTACTGTAAAGCTGATATTTTCACTGCACCACTCTCATACATTTCTCAATTCTCACTTCCAATAAAATCGTCGTAATACCAGTTATTAATAAAAATATCAGAAAGTTGCATTCATTAACATCAGCAACATATTTTTTGTCGGCATTATTATTCGTTCAGATGAATGGAACGCGTATACATGTTTCAGAAATAATCCTAAATACAGTTAGAAAACAGTTAATGACTCAATTCCTTTTATTGATCCGGTAACACATGTGCATACACAAAAGGTAATTATATCATTCGTCGAACTTATTTTGTCGACCAATTATTTCGTCGACAAATATTTCTGATAAAATATTAATATTAAAATGTACCAATCTATCTTTGTTTTTATTTCATCAAAGAGATAAAATAGAAAATAACAAATAGTATATTGATAAATATAGAACAGATTCACGAAGTACATCCAGAAAAATTTACCAGAAGAAGATGACAAATGACAAACACACAGAAAACTTTTTTTATCTACTTTAATACTGAATCATTTCCTCTTCGCGACCAACAATGATAAACCTTCAACGTATTTGATGAGATCAATCTCTTTCTTCTTGAATCGATCTGAAAGAGTTTCAAGACATTGTTGGATGCGACAGGTTCATTTTCCGTACACATTTCTTTTTCCCATTGTCACATGTTGGACATATTGATTGAAGCGTACTTGTTCTTCTTGAAGTACGCGAATGAAGTGCCATATATTCGGGTGCTTCTTGTTGATGCGGTGGGCAAACCTGTTGTGCTATTCTGAGTGAACCATATTCAAATATTTTAAAGGAGAAAGAAAGGAACTATATCTTACCTTCGGCATTGTTATTAGTTCTTACTTTGAGATCATGCACACTCCATAAGTTTATTGATACCTTCTCTATCCNTTTTTTCGAAATAAATAAATAATTAATTTAATTGATGTTCAATTTATTTTCAACTGTTATACGCATGTATGTCTACAAAAATATAAACAAAATTAAATCAAATAAATATTATAAAAAAAAACATTTTTCGGTTAGTACGATATATAATACATTTTTTTCAATACTATTATAGTATCTGATAAACTTGAAAGTGTATAATCAAAGTATGCACATATTTAAAAACATAAGAAAACATGTGTTCTAATTGATATTGATCGATGAATCAGTTGTAGTTTTTTGTCGCTTTTGTTGTTGTTGACCAAATGTATCTTTTCGTTTTTTTTGAATCTTAATTAACTCTTCTGTTATTTTCGACAATTGTTCAATAATTGTTTTACTTTTGGTATCACCACCATCGATTAAAATTGTAGCTCTATCAATATCAAGGCTATTTTTATTCTTGAGTGCAAGTTGTAAACGTTTACTACCATCGGTAATTATCGATGTGGTTTGATTAAGTTCACGCTGTAAATCGCTTTGTTTAATTAATAATTCTTCTTCTTCTTTTAGTATTTCTGTACGAGATTCATATACTTGTAGGCGTTCTGTATTTTATTTTTCTAAACGTTCCATTGCTGCTTTCTTGGTGTTTAGATCTTGTTTGTACAATGAATAAGACGTTTGAATTGATTTAATAATTTCTTTATTTATGTGTACCTAAATCAAAAAATAGCATCAATTAAATCAGGACCAAATGGACAGATACATGCCTTATGACTAGATCCATTGCCCGTAAATTTAACACCATCATATGTTGATCTTAAACCATTAATTGATGTATCCGATAAAAGTGAACGATTTTGTGGAACCATATTTTCGTTTATTGAAAATCCACGTTCAATATCAGCATTACCATGAGGAATAATAAGAATATTTTTAATTAATTTACCTAATGTTGGATATTTTGGACGGCCATCCGCCGTTGTAATTGCCAAAACTTTGTTCCAGTAATAGTCGATGCGATGATAAGTAATACATTCACTACCGGAATCACCTTCTTTTTTATCTTTAATGTACCATTTTTCATCAATATTATCAAGTGAGTAATTCAACCATTCATCACGCGAACAGTCAATTTCTCGATCAGTTAATAAACCTGTAACAGCTCTAGAAATACGTACAAGTTCATCACTGTATTGAGTGGATTTAAATGAAGGATGCAAAATTTGTACATCCCGTAAAAATGAATTTTTTAATGGTAAATTCTTTTTAAAATATTCTGTTGTTGCATGATAAATTTTTTTAACATCTTCAAAAAACGTTTCTCGTTCTTTTTGTGTAAGATGAGTTAGTACCTTACGAGATCTTTCTCCCAATAATTATAAGAAACTACAATAAGAAATAAATTTTTTAAAATCAGTATTGATCTTACCTATACGTATGTGTTTATTATTTAATTGTTTTTCATTCAATATAAAATCAATATCCAATAAATCACCACCGGCTTTATCACCAACATAATCATGTGCTAGAAATTTCAATAAAATCATACGGTACAATGATGATAATTCATAATGAAGAAGGTGTATAAGTGGTGCTTCTTGTTGAAACAGTGTCAAAAAACGGTCAAATATGGTTTCGCATAAGAACAATATAAAATGTAATCTAATTTTGATTACGTACGACGTTAAGGTTAATTTAATTCTGTCGTAACGCTCGTTATTTCGAATTTGTACCTTTTGATTATCCGGTAAAAATGTTAGAAAACATTCATGTAATGGTTCCCATAATGCTAGAAACAATCAAACCCCTTTATTTCGTAAAATATAATATAATATAATTGATAAATTTACTTAAAATACGTGTTATTACTTTACCAAGCAATACCCAACGTGTATTGGTGAAGTACAACATAGACTTTTCCATAATACAATTAAAGTCATCAATTACATCAATTAAATCTTGTTTACGTGCAGGTGATTGTTTAAACCATGAATACATATCAATACATTTATTTTGAACATTCCAATCAGATGAAGATAAACCTATACAGAAAATAAAAAATAAAAATATGTACTTATTCAAAAAGTATTCATAGTTACCAGCTTTAAAACCATTATGTGCAACATGAAGATGACAACCTCCAATTTTCAAAAGGCCACAACCAATCTTTTTCATCTCATTTTCAATTAAATTTTCGAGTGATAAGTTTACAAATGGACTATCACGACCTAACATAAGTAATTGTTTCAGTTCTAAACCATTAGATTTAAGTGAATCTAGAATAGCAGTTTTAAGAACAGCTGCTGTTGCATGTCCTAATAAAATAGATTTGTAATACCGAGTAACGACAAGCCCTTCATCATAACACCAATATTTTACTAATAAATCTAACTGTTTACGATTTTGATTGTTGGTCTGTTCGTCGAAACACAACACAAATTTTCCATTGCGCTTCAAAGATTTAATAAGTTGTTGATGAAAATATGGACCAAGACCATGAGATAAGACATACGAAATCTTCTTGGATATGCTAAATTCTGTGGCAATCTTAGAATCAGGAAACATAACGAAAAACATCTCCAATATCATCACATGAGTTGAAACTATAACCACGTTGAGCTACTGTTAGAGCCCATACGGCCTCAGCTTTAGTAACTTGTTCTTGAAAATCTAATACTATAGGTCGTTTCATATTACTTAATCGTAATTGTGGTGTTGCAACAACATCATCTGTCGATGATGTTTGTGTTTTTGAGGATTCAATAAAAAATGTCGAATTATTTTTCAATAATTTTATTTTCTCTATATGACCGCTTGTTTTCATATGTTGTAAAATAGCTCCCCATCCTTGATTTGAACAATTAAGATTAGCTGACATTGAAATGTTGATGTTTTTTCACCTTTTTTTAACCATTTATCTACTTTAACACCTTGAGAATCTGTTTTGTTGAGCCAGGTTTCATTAAATTTGGTACCTTTTCGCATTAATATTTCAAAATAAAAACTACAATATCCACTAAATCAAGTTCAAAACAACGAAATTTTTCTATTTTTCAAATAAAAACGTAAGATCTATAATCAAATAAAAATAATATGGCCAAATTTCGAATGCAGCTTTTAACCTACATTTTGTAAAAAAAAAAAGAGTTAGTTATCCCATGGGAGAACTTTTGAAACACACAAAAAAAAGAAAGAAAATGACCGAGCAGCTTGATTATCTCGATGAACTAATGAATAGCGAGCACTATATATTGTCGCTAACATGTGTTTTATGTTATAGACATTAGTGACAATATTTACACAACGTGCAAGACACATTTTTGAAAAATATGTGACTTTTTTCAAAAGTATCTTCAGTTTTTCGAAAAATATAGGAATATAGGAAAAAAGCTTGAAATATAGTCCATTATAGGAGAAATTTAAAAAATATAGGAAATATAGGAAATATAGTCCTACTACGAAGCCAGNATATAAAGCTTGAACGTGGCTCTATCATTAATAAAAGAATCAGCTCGTTAGCTCGAGCCGTAGCAGAGATATTCAATTGTTTTCGGTAAAGTGACGTTTTCTTCTAACTGTGAAAAAGTAAATTTTTCTTGTTGAGGTCAATAGTGATACTTAACAAAGGGTCTCCCTGGACATGTCTTTATGGATATAAACTTGGTACATGCCTCTATCACTGGTAAAAAGATCAGCACGTTTGCTCGAGCCGTAATGGAGATATTCGAATTTCTTATCGCACAGTTATTTATGAACCACCCTGTATATTTTGTCGTATTTCCTATGGAAAATCGACAATAAAAAAATACATTAATAATAATTATTGTCAGAATTCCGAAGGAATTTCGACAATAATGGGAAATTCGGCAGTATTGTCGATTTTCAGTGGAATTTTGAACAATTTGAAATTCCACTGGAAGATCGACATTGGCGAAATTCCGTTGGCGAAATTCTTATTGGCGAAATTCCAGAGAACCACTTAAACTACTTCCACCTTTCACAAAAAAAAAATTAGCTTTCTTCCAGGTTTCCTTGTTGTCTGGCTTTCATTTTTTCGCTTTTGCCTCCATTTTCAACTGTTTATTGCCAGTGAGAATTTTGTCCTTCCTATTTGTGATTACTAGTGTAATGCAGAGCTCTGATGAGTGTTTATATTTCAATAAGTAACACGAAACGCAATGGTGAATTTAACTCTGTATTCTGTCTTTATTTATTACTCATATAAAGCACATCAATTTATCATTTTATTATGACAGGAAGTCGATTGCTGAAAACTAAAAATTGAAACTAACAGATTGGCTTTGTCTTGTCTTCAAGAAATAGATTGATCTTTTTTCGATTGATTCATAAACACATCGATACTCACATTTAGCATTCTAGCAACAAACCTTGAAAAAAAAAGAAAAATAAACTTATACTTTAGTATTTCTAACTATTTCTTAGTTGGAATACTAGCAAAACTAATATCATAATCTGTTTTTAGATTTTGTTCTAGATAACTAAACGCGTTGGACTCTCTATATACAATCGTCAAGGACGGTTGAAAAATTGTTTCTTGGATTTTCCAAAAGCAAACAGAGAAAAACGAAGCACCACAACAAATTTATCATAACGATTTCAAAGCTCATCCATTCTGTTTTGATCATAACATGTCTCAGCTATGTCAAAAAAATATTCAAACTTTCTCACTGGCCTCCTTCAATATATCGAACACATAAATCATACTGAAATTTTGGGAAAAGCGAAATACCATTTATTGTAGTAATTTAATACAGCCAGAACCAAAAATAGAAATTAGAAGAAATATTAGTAGCACTAAGTAGCAGTTAGAAATTGTGAATCAATGAAAAAAAAACTCAAACCCGCATTGACAATACTAACATGTCTGTAAGAAAACTTTTAGATTGTCGGCACCTTCGTTGGCCACGACGAAATCCAACTTGCCGTCATTGTTCAAATCGCCAACAGAAACCGAGAACGGAAGAGATCCATAACCGATCGAAACAATCTTTACACCTGCAAAAGAGCCATTACCATATCCAAGCAACACACCTACATTGTTTGTGCCATAATTGGAGACAATAATGTCTAGCAAGGTATCATTGTTGAGATCCACAACAGCAACCGCGTTCGGTTGAGACTTAAAACCGGTTGTAAACGTTTTTTGACTTGAAAACGAACCATGACCCCATCCAAGAAATATACCAACATTGTCATTGTCATGATTCGCGACGACGATATCAAGTATAGTATCGTTGTTGAAATCACCAATGGCTACCGACCATGGAGAAGAATCAGTTAAGTATGCCACTTGATTTCCGAAAGAACCATTGCCATATCTAAGAAAAATACCGACGTTTTTACTGCCTGAATTTGCAACTGCAACATCTATATGACCATCATTGTTAAAATCTCCCATGGCGAATGATTTAGGTTGAGATGCATTGCCAGTTATGAGCTTCATTTGGCTTAGAAAACCTTCATTGGGATATCCGAGATATACACTAACAATTTCCTCATTCACATTAGCGACGATGATATCCAGTCCGGTGTCATTATTAAAATCACCCACAGCGACAGATGCAGGACTCAAACCACTTGAATAGGTCGTTTGATTTACAAAAACGCCATTGCCATATCCAAGAAGCACACTTATATTGTTGCCATTCCAATTAGCGACGACAATATCCAGTCGGGTGTCGTTGTTAAAATCACCAACAGCTACAGATTGTGGGCCAGAGCCAGTTGAATAGATCGTTTGATCTGCAAAAAAGCCATCGCCATATCCGAGAAGTACACTTACAGTGTTGTCACCATAATTAGCGGCGATGATATCCAATAGGGTGTCGCTGTTAAAATCACCAACAGCTACAGAGATTGGTCGAGAGCCAGTTGAATATTTCCTTTGATTTGCAAAAGAACCATTTCCATGTCCGAGAAGTATACTGATAGTGTTGTTCCCAAGATTGGCAACGACGATATCCAGTCGGGTATCGCTGTTAAAATCACCAACAACTACAGACGGTGGGTAAGAGCCAGTTGAATATGTCATTTGATTTGCAAAAGAGCCATTTCCATATCCGAGAAGTATACTGATAGTGTTGTTCAAACGATTGGCAACGACGATATCCAGTCGAGTGTCGCTGTTAAAGTCGCCAACAGCTACAGAGATTGGCCCAGTGCCAGTTGAACATGTTGTTTGATCATTAAAGGAGCCATTGCCATATCCGAGAAGCACACTTATAGTGTTGTCACCGTAATTAGCGACGACGATATCCAGATGGACGTCGTTGTTAAAATCGCCAACAGCTACAGAGTATGGTGAAGAGCCAGTTGAATATGTTGTTTGATCTGCAAAAGAGCCATTTCCATATCCGAGAAGGATACTTATAGTGTTGTCACGACGATTAGTGACAACGATGTCCAGATAGATGTCGTTATTGAAATCACCAACAGCTACAGAGTTTGGGAAAATGCCAGTTGAATATTTCATTTGAGGACGGAAAGATCCAATATTGTGTGTAACAAGTACATCGACATGATCGATACCATCATAGGCGACAAAAATTTCTGAACGTTTATCTTTGTTAAAACTACCGACACCAATCGCCAATGGAGCGAAATCAAAATCTACACCGTAACTTCCTTGACTTTCAAATGTTCCGTTCTCACTTCCCAGAAATGTAACAAGATTGTTAGTACCATAATTGGCTACTGCGATATCCACCTGACCATCTTTATTGAAATCTTGGATAGCGATTGAGTAAGGATGAGAATTTAAGCCCGTTGAGAGCACCATTTGATTTTCAAAAGTGCCATTCCCATGTCCGAGAAGGACACCTATGCTATTACTACCATAATTAACAACGGCGATATCCAATAGGCTGTCATTATTGAAATCATAAATGGCAAAGCTTCGCAAACGAGAACCATCGCCAGATGCAAACGTGATTTTGTCTTTCAGAGCTCCTCTGTCATACCGAAGTAGTATACTCACAGTGCGGTCATTAAGATTCGCGACGACGAGATCCAGTCGAGTGTCGTTATTAAAGTCGCCAACAGCTACAGATAGTGGGCCAGAGCCAGTTGAATATGTCGTTTGATGTGCAAAAGATCCATTTCCATGTCCGAGAAGAGCACTTACAGTGTTGTCACCCAAATTAGTAGCGATAATATCCAATAGGGTGTCGTTGTTAAAATTACCAACAGCTACAGATGTTGGCGCAGAGTCAGTTGAATATGTAGTTTGATTTGCAAAAGAGCCATCACCATATCCGAGAAGGACACTTACAGTGTCGTTACCACTGTTAGCAACAACGATATCCAGATGGGTGTCGTTGTTAAAATCACCAATCGCTACAGAGTATGGTGAAAAGCCAGTTGAATATGTCATTTGATTTGCAAAAGAGCCATTGCCATATCCGAGAAGGACACTTACAGTGCTGTCACCCCAATTAGCAACGATAATATCCAATAGGGTGTCGTTGCTAAAATCACCAACAGTTACAGATCTTGGCGCAGTGCCAGTCTTATATGTCATTGGATTTGCAAAAGAGCCATTGCCATATCCGAGAAGGACACTTACAGTGGTGTCACCGTAATTAGCGACGACGATATCCAGATGGACGTCGTTGTTAAAATCACCAACAGCTACAGATTGTGGGTAAGAGCCAGTTGAATATGTCATTTGATTTGCAAAAGAGCCATTTCCATATCCGAGAAGCACACCTACAGTGCCGTCTTTCCTATTAGCAACAACGATATCCAGATGGATGTCGTTGTTAAAATCACCAACAGCTACAGACTGTGGGTAAGAGCCAGTTGAATATGTTATTTGATTTGCAAAAGATCCATTTCCATGTCCCAGAAGAACACTTACAGTGTCGTCATCCCTATTAGCAACAACGATATCCAGATGGATGTCGTTGTTAAAATCACCCACAGCTACAGAGTATGGTGCAAAGCCAGTCGAATATGTCGCTTGAATCGGAAATAACTCATCGTAGCCAAGCATGATACCTATGGTACTCGTATCATTGTTGATAACGACAATGTCTAAACGATCATCTCTGTTTAAATCACCTATGGTGATCGAAATGGACGAAGAAGATCCAGTTGAATACATTTTTGGACTTGCAAAGGTACCGCTACCATATCCGACAAGTAGAGCTATATTGTCGGTGCCTTTATTCGTGACTACTAAATCCATTCGATTGTCATTGTTGAAGTCACCAATTCCAATAGAATATGGGGAAGCACTGCCCATTGAATATGTGATTTCGCTCATAAAAGTGCCATTGCCGTGGCCCAGGTATACAACTACACTGTTATTTCCATTACAAGTGACAACGATATCTAGCATGGCATCTTCGTTTAAATAACCAACCGCAAGTGAGTATGGATGGGAGTTACGACCAGTTGAAAAAGTGCTTTGATTCATGAAAGTACTGTTACCATTTCCAAACAGTATACAGACATTGTTTGTACCATAATTGGCTATAGCAAGATCCATCTGCTTGTCATTGTTGAAATCACCACTAACAACTGCAAACGGAAAAGAATCATAGCCCGTGAAGTACGTACTTGGTCTTGAAAAGCTTCCATTTCCATATCCATAAAATGTACTTACACTGTGTGTCCCGCAGTCGACGGTGACAATATCTAGTGCTGTATCGTTGTTCAGATCTGCTACATGAATCCACACAGGACGAGATGATGCAGTTGATAGAGCTGTTTGACTCTCAAAAGACCCGTTTTGAAATCTAAGAAGTATACCGACGCTGTTTGTGCCAAAATTTGCCACAGCGACATCCAGTCGACGATCATTGTCGAAATCACCAACAGCGATCATGGATGGAGCAGAGCCAGAACCGGTGGAATACTTGACTGGACTTGCCACAGTGCCATTGCCATATCCAAAATATATAGCTATATTGTCAGCAGCATAATTAGCAACAGCAATATCAGGCCAAGTATCGTTGTTAAAGTCACCCATGGCGACAGATCGTGGGTTATTCTTATAGTCAACTGGATTTTTGACGATTGTTTTAAACTTAAGTTCACATTTTGGGACTACGTAACACAAGAACAAAGAAATAAAGACTGATCAGCTACTATGGTTGGATTTGAGTGGAAATCAGTATTTTTCAACAGAATCTCGTTGAGTCTCGTGAAACTCATCACTCAGATAACTCATTCTACGCTTTCTTTCATTTCCTTGAGAATTCCTTCACGAAACGCATAGTGACTGTTAAACAACAGACACCGCAACTAATACGATTTAAGTAAGGATTATACACTGACCCTAACTATATGGCCAAAACTACTATTATCTCTATCTTACAGGTTTCTTCTATGACATGCCATCGGCCACAAATATACTGTAATGACCAAAATTCTAAAGCATTTCGAAATCAAAAAAATCCTAATGATGTTGTGTTCCAACGATCCTCTAATTGCGTCGTGAATGTTTTGCATCAATAATTATCAGTAACAGTCAGAAGAGGGCGAGTTATTCACTTGTATCCAGCAATATACAGCGGATAGTTCAATGAATTAAGCGATTATTCATTTTCCATGTTGGCTTTGTGAACCTCTGATTCCCTATTGTCTGATTGTACAACATTGCTATAATATGGCCTCTATATGTATATGATGGTTTCTACTTTTCGAAACGACGAGATCATTCATCCATTTTTGTTTGTCATCCCTAGATTCATTTCTTGCTAGACCTAGCTTATCACAGCTATATAGTTTTTAGGATATTTTGAAAGTTTCAACAAAAAAGGTATGCCTTCTTCTTCTTCTTCAGATGATCAAGTCCGAAGGATTATCTGCTTATTAAAGCAGAGTGACTGCAATCGAATTTCATTGCGAGCTCATGATCGCAAAACAAATGCGTACGCTTTCGTTGAAACATTCATGACATTATGATAATTATAGGAGATATAGAGGAGGAGAATATCAAACCAAAATATCATCATTTAACTTTTTAGTACACGGTGAACTACTAGGGAATATGAATATAACAGGTATAACTTACAAAACAAAATGATCAACGAACAGAATTACTCAACTAATATTCTTAGGAGTGCCACGCTTACTGTTAGTTAGACTTCCATTTACCAAAGTAACAGTAAGTATTTTTATGATTGACAAATCTCCTATATAGCAGTAATAAACGCTTAGATCCTATCCAGTAACGGAAAATATGTTAGTCTGATTTTCGGTTCCAAGAAAGATTATTTTACGAAAATAACCAAGTGCTTGAAGTTTGATCAAATGATTTCGGGGTTGAGCAGTCCAAATACATTCATGATTTTTCAAAATCACTAGTATCGTTTTCTTCAAGAAATAGTCTTTCCAGAATGAAAATCTCAAAGCCATACATTTACTATAGCCATAAGAAAATTGTACCAGCGTGTAGTCCATCAAAGACTGCATCAAATCCTTAGAAGGAAGGTCCATCGTAAAGTCCATTCGACAGCAATTGAGAAGCGTGAATCTTTGTGACATACCTAAAACTTCGATAGAAACACTATTAGTTCATCATAAATTCAGCTTATGTTTACTACTTCTGAATGATTCATAGGAGGTTCTGTGCCGTATTCGATCCTCT